CAAATCAAAAATCTGCCTGAACTCAGTCTGAATATATTCAATAGCTCAGTGTCTATTGCTCTTTAGGCTAGAGAATACCAAAGATGAACGACCCTATCTCAAATGGGAGACCACTTACTTCGAAACTGTGCCCTCAGTAGTTCCGAACTCCCTATACAAGGAAACAGCCTCCCAGTATCAATCCTGTCAGGTTCTGTGAGGATCTTAGATATTTCAGTGAGATCACAACTCATTCCTTTAAACTTCAAGGAGTTTGACTTGACCAGCTCAGCCTTTATCATAAGACAAACCCCATGGCTAAAACACAATATTCTGGAAACAAATGCTTTGGAAGAGTTTTCCCTCAACTGATTTCACCCAATTTCTTTTACCTAGATTCAGGAAAGGAAACTCATACGACTTATAAAGTGATAAAGGGCAGTATGGTGGCTCAGTGGTTAGGACTGCTGCCTCACAGCGCCAGGGATCTGGGTTCAATTCCACCCACATTCTCCCTGTGTCTGCGTGGCTTTCCTTCAGGTGCTCCGGTTTCCTCCCACAGTCCAAAGATGTGCAGGTTAGGCGGATTGGCCATGTTAAATTGCCCCTAGTGTTCAGGGGTGTGTAGATTAGGTGGATTGTAGGGGATGAGTCTGGGTGGGATGCTCTGAGGTTCAGTGTGGACTTGTTGGGTCGAAGGGCCTGTTGCCACACTGTAGGGATTCTATGATGAGATAAAGCTTCATCCAATATTTTAAAGTATTGCAGAATTGTCATAAAGAATATTTTTGTGGATTATTTTAAGAACATAAAATTAGGAACCAAGGAGGCTAGACTTCGCTATTCTTTTAGGTCTTATACAGTCACTTAATGACCAAATATGAGGTCCAAGACATTTGTGTAGTTTTCAAATAGTAAGTTTCAAGGATGACAGTTTAATAACGGGGCTCGCACACAGGTGCCTAACAACTGCCAGCAACACAGCGTAGTGAGCTGATGATCATAGAATCGCTACAGTGTGGAAACAGGCTATTCGGCCCATCGAGTCCAAACCAATCTTTCGAACAGCATCCCACCCAGATCTACCCTATCCCTGTCATCCTGCATTTCCCATGGCTAATGCACATAACCTACACATCCTTGGACACTATGGACAATTTAACATGGCCAATCCACCCAATCTGCACATTTTTGGACTGTGAGTAGAAACCGGAACACCTGGAGGAAACCCAAGTAGACACAGGCAGAATGTGCAAACTCCACACACAGACAGTCGTTTGAGGGTGGAATTGAACCTGGGTCCTTGGTGCTGGGAGGCAGCAAAGCTAACCACTAAGCCACCATGCCATCAGTGCCGACCACTAAGCCACCGTGCCATCCCATTAATCTTGATATTAGTCCATCTGGAATGCTGATCTGAAGTTGGTGCTGCCACTTCTGAACATTAAACTCCAAGCAATGTTGTGCTTTAACTTGAATGGACAGTACACTAAAAGGACTTTTCTTCTTCAGTCGCGGGACATGGGAATTTATTGGTTATCCCTATTTTCCCTTGAGAAGGCGGTGATGAACCATGGTCTTGAACTGTTGCAGTCCTTATATTGCAGATATAGTCAGGGGAAAAAACTTTCAGTATGTCTACCAAATGACAATGCAAAAATGGATATGACCTTCCAAACCAGCAGGATGCATCACCTGGAGCAGAACCTGTATGTATTAGTGTTCCCACGTACCTGCTGTTCTCCTAGATAGTAGGCATTCACATGTTTGGAAGGTACTAAGTAAGAAGCCTTGGCAAGTTGCTGCAGTGCATCTCAAGAATGGTACATACTGCTCACACTATGTGCCAGTGGAGTTTATGGCTGGGAAGGGGTGCCAATCAAACTATCTGCTTTATATGTGACAGAGTACTGTGCAATCATCAGCAAACATCCCGATTTCTGACTTTATGATAGTCATTTAGGAAGCAGCTGAAAACTGTTGGCCTAGGACACTACCCCGAGGAACTCCTTTAACAATGTCTGATAAAATTGGCCTCCAACAAGGTTAAACATCTTCCTTTGCACTAAGTATGGTGTAAGCCAGCCAAGAGTTTTTTTCCCTTCACTTCCATTTGTTTCAATTTTCTGATGACTCCTTGAAGACACACTTAGTCAAATGCGGCTTTGATGTTAAGAACACTCACTCATATCTCACCTTTGGAAGTCAGCTCTTTTGACCCTGTTTGGATTAAGGCTGTAAACAGGAACTCCTAGTTCTGAAGAAGGGTTGCTGGACCAGAAATGTTAATTCTGATTTCTCTCCACAGATGCTGCCAGGCCTATTTAGCTTTTCTAGCAATTTCTGTTTTTGCTTCTAATTTTCAGCATCTGCAGTGTTTCTGGTTTTTATTTAGTATTTAGTTCACTGCCACATCTCTTCCAGGCACACCCATCCTGAAAAAGTTCTGCTCCTCTCTCCGACAAGATTTCCGTTCCAATCTTTTTCTCTTGTCCACCGTCATTAATTTCACTGTCACTCCTGGTGTTTGACCAGCTGTTTGCTAAAACCCATTTCCAGAGCAACATCACATTCTACACTGACTGCTTCTGGCTCAGACTCACCCCACGTGGACTCCAACTCAAGTTTCATGCTTCTTGCTTTGAATCCACCCAGGATCATAGGTATCTCTGCAATGTTTAACGTTCCACCGACAGCTGTTCTCATCACATCCTGAGATCCACAGTCAGTGCCATGCGTCGTTATATGGACACTCTTGAACTCCCGCTGCCACAGCCCCTCTTCACACTGGCTCAGAGCTGCACTGCTCCCCAGTTCCACTTCATGTGCCAACTCATTTGGCCAGTTGTGAGGAAGGGTCACTGAGCCCAAAACGTTAACTCTGAATTCTCTCCACAGATGCTGCTAGACCTGCTGAGCCTTTTCCAGCAATTTCTGAATTGTTGGAATTAGATTTGTTTTGCTTTTTGCGAACAGGATATAGCCCACATCACCAGTGCTATTTAAAGGGATTATAGCTACTTACATTCAATTACTAGATGATTTCTTCTCGCTAATGGAGCAACTATGTATTATTGGAAATTTCTGAGATTTGGCTAAACTTCTGCATTATTTGCAGAGAGTGGTATGGTTGGAGCTGAAGTAGATCTTTGGTCATTTGAAATTTTGCGTTGAAACAAATTTTGGAGCTTCCTCTAGGAAATAAAAACAGGAGAGAATGGCGAGTGGCCATGTGAAGCAGGACAAGCTTCTAGAACAGTGAGCAGGAGAAGGGATCACAGCATGAGTCATTAGAAAGGACGCAGGAAAGATTCAGAAGAATGCAGTTCCTCATCCCTGGAACCAGTTATGAAGGTAGATTGGAGATGTTAGGACTGTCTCACACAGTGAATGACTGGAATCTGGAGTGTAGTGCCTAAGTGTGTGATGGAGGCAGTTGACATGGAGGCTTTCTGAGGAGTTATCTGAAGAGGAAGAACGTGCTGGATTACTTCAGGGTGGAGAGAGAGAGAGAGAAATAGCCGAGATGCTCAAAAATTTAATCGACCAAACTGTTGATGTTAACACTGTAAAAGTTTTTGTGAATCTGTGATACTGAGCGTACTCAGGAATCAATTAGCTATGAGGGCTAATGCTTGAGATGTCTTCACTTCGCCAAAGAGGTCATGGCTGAAATTTTTCAATTGCTGTGACCAGAATTGCAATGTTAAACCTGGGAAAGAACAGCCTGTGACTCACGTAAACAAATCTGGAGCAGCAGTAGGCCATTCGGCCCCTCGAGCCTGTTTTGTTAATCAATAAAGAAGGATTTATCTATCTCTGCTGACAAATATTCAATGACCCTGTCTCCAGTGCTTCCTGGGGAGGGGAGCTTCATAGACTCTTGACCCTCTGTGAGAAAAACAATTCCTCCCCATCTCCATCTTTAATGGGAGACCCCTTATTTTTAAGCCTAATTCCCCAGTTCTAGTCTCTCCCATAAGGGGAAACATTCTTTCAGTATCCACCCTGTCACCCTTAGATTCTTGTATGTCACGATTATCTTTCATTCTTGTAAACCCTATTAGGTATAGGCCCTGTGGCTTGTAGTACACTGCTGCCTAAGGGCAGTCACCAAAGCTTGCTATGCCCACAGAAACATTTTTATCTCATTCCGTCTCTCCAGAGTAAAGCAGACTGCCCAATGGCTAGGTGTTGCTTGGATTGCAAGCTTCCTTGGTATAGGGTGCCATTGGCTGTACATGCATTATGCTTCATGTACTCTCAGCCACTTTCACAAACTGAAGGGCAGGTCACTCCCTTATTGTCCAACTGGTGTGTAATAATAGTTAGTTTACCATGCTGGTCAATGTCCATTAACCCAGTTACAATTCCTTAAATCTCCAGTCGTCCTCTATGCCACCTGTATTTGAACCACCTTATAAGCTAAAGGGTGGATACTGACCAACAAGGGTTATCCACTCATCAGCCGGCTCAAGTCTATGGTTCAAAACCCACAGGCCTGTGCGTAGCAGGAACATTACAAATCACAGCATCAATATCCTGAACCATTGCTTCCTTTTGTCTTTTCTGCTCTGGAGGAATTCAGCAGTCCTCAGCTCGATAATGGGATGTTCCAAGCTGCATAATCTGGCCATGATGAGGGAGCAGTCTATGCTGTTACCAACTTGGTAATAAGATGAGAAGCAGGAAGTACAGGAAGTGCAACGGGGAAGACCATAAAGACAGGCCATGAGATACACAGGCCCTTTCTGCTTGATGGTTACATGATCAAGTTATTCATCGATGGTACCTGTAAACTCTACACTTTGCCATTCACCAACAGTCCCACATTCCTCCCCTTTCCTCTATCAATGACCAACTCAATGTGTTCTTTTCTGACAAAAAAAAGTGTAAAAGAAAGCACCAGAAATATACATTCCAATCAAATGTTATCAATTCAATCATTACATAATATGTACAAAATTTCCCTTGTGTACTCCCTTCATGTGTTTACCTACTGTCGTGTTCTAAATCATTGGCTCCCCACTGGCTGCAATATGGATGCTGGAAGGCTGTGGACCTTCAGGTGACACGACAGACTGCCTTGGAGCTTTGGACATGGTGGGCTAAGTTTCCGACGGCACTCTCTCAGGAATCTGGGACAACTGGCTGACAAAACCATTTGGGCATGGAAAGAGTGGGAGTGAGAATGGAAATGCTGTCATCTTGAAAGAGAACAGCAGGCCTGTGGGTCTTTTTTTGGAGATCTCCCAAGTTGGCTCTTCAGTAACCTTACTCGCCTTTATGATAAAAGCTTGACAGACTGCTGTAACACTCGTGAACGATGGTATCGAGGGCCATGGTGGGGGGAACAATCTGATCTTCCACTGCAACACACAGATTTTTGATGAAAACCCTTTTGTGTTATACTGGGAACTGTGCAAGTGGCCATTAGGTTTTGTATCATCCACAGATGTTTTATGTGGAAAAGGAAGGGTCAGGCTTGACAGTGTCTCATGCCACGTTGGAGCTGGACTTCTCTGTGGTCCACAACTTTTTGTGCGGTCTTTCCAGTGTATCAGTGTCTGTTTGGGTACATCCGTCAGCCTTCCTCTGGTAGCCTAGCCCATCAAAGGCTTCATCTGACTGCTCTTCAGCACATCTAGTATGTAACCTAATCCTCCAGTGAACTGGCAATCATTCGCCACGTTTTGGTTTCTCCACATTGGAACTCAGTTACTCACTGCAAGCTGAGTGCTAGCTGCCAAAATACATGCAGTGTCTGTCTCTGAGCTAGTGACCGAGAGGGTAAGATTAACTTGGCATTTTTTTTCTTCACAGCCTTGCTTATATTTCTCCTTCCACTGGAACAGATCCAGATCTTGGGTTTCTGAAATTATAGTGGAATAAGCGATGAGTTGAAATGACGGGATGGGAGAAAGTAAGAAGAGTATGCATACATCATTGTGGGAAGAACAAGAAGTTGGAAAAGAGATGGAGTATTTGATAAGTAGACACCTTCATCACCAATTCTTTAGGCCCCTCCACTGGCTATGGCCTCAGTAATAGCCCTTTTCATGATGACAAACACATCTCCTGCACAGGGATATTTGGAAACACCTCCCAATCCTGTGCTCTTTACTATCTAGAAGAATAAGGACTACACCACCTAGTCCAAGTTCCCTTTCAAGATACACAACATTCTAACTTTAAAATAGTTAATCAAACTTTCCTCCTCCCTTTGTCACCATTCCAAACTCACTACTTAATATCACAAGGTTACAACCATCGCATGGACTGCAGCATTTCAAAAAGGCAGCTCACTATTACCTTCTCAAAGACAATTAGAGATGCTCAATTAATACAGGTATCCCAGTGCCATCCACATTCCCTAAATATGTTACAAAATAAACACATGTGCTTCTGTTCTGGTTCTTCTCTGCTGCTTCCTGTTATGGGCCACTTTCTCCTACAAGGAAGAGGGAAGTGTGTCACTGAGTGTCCCACAATATATTTGGATGACGCAGCAGTCTTGCTTGAATAACCATCAGTGGGTGTAAGCGGTACATTGTGGGTCAAGGCTTGCAAAATTACTGTGTCTGAGGGCATTTTAAAGTGCGTCAACTGAAACGTTGATACAGATTGTTGTTAGTGCAGCTAGCTAAGAATGAGGCTAGTGGCGTGGTTGGAAGGATGCATCATTGAAGACTGAAGTCACCCATTCTTGCAATTCATGTCCAATCATTAAACCTGTCCCTCTACAGCACCACAACAATGTTTTAAAGCTACACTCCTGCAATTGACATTCACTGCTACACCTTCCACTGTGTTTGGAGGATTTCCTGGGTCCCTCTCTTTTCAGGCTAACACTCCTTCCCTCCATGTTGTGGACTAAGACAGTCAGTGCATTGACAGAAACCCTTGATCTATGCTGTCTCACATGTTTAGCTGTGGCTGAAGTATCAATTCACATTTTAAAGATCCCTCACCACTCTTCACAGCCAAAATGCACTTCTCCTTTAGGAGGCAAAGGCTGTTTTTAAGCCGCACTAGCCATTTATCATGTTGTGTGTAGCCAAGAAACAGTCACACACATAATTTTCAAAACAGTAAGGAATACAAATCACACACATTGCTGACATCGCAAGGAAGAAGTGCATGTTAGTCCCCACACCCTCCCCCCAACCAATAACTAAAGCTTCAGGAATATATGAAATAATCTTTGTACTTTTCCAACCCGGAAACTTACATCAAGCAACTGCAAGGGTACAGGGGCATAGCGTACCATTTTACTTCTGACCTGATTTTCTGGCTCTCCTGCCATTAATTAAATAAGCTGAAACAATGTTACATTATGGACCAAGCGTTGAATCAGAGCACTGCACTCGACTGCAGAGTTGATTTAAGGCAAAGAAAAACAAGCACATAAGTGTTAATCAAGACGTTGGAGATCAAAGTTACTACTCACCTTGGGACGTTGGGAACACGTGTGGGCCTTGAAGGGATCTGCGGGGGACATCCAACTAAGTCAGCGTTGCTGGAAATAGACAGGGTGGGGCGGGCCCCTGGACGGGACGGAATGGGAGGTGCTCCTATAGGTGGAGTGGATGAGGAAGGGCCTCGTCCAAATGATCTGCTTGGTAGATGACCAGCTATGGGTTGCCAGTGTTGAGGTGCAGGACAGGAAGATGGTGCTCTGCAATATATAAGTTTATTTAGCGTTATTCCTCAATCATGTCAAATGCAACTGCCATATAAATGCAAATAACTCTTGTTTCTTTACACTTCATTGTATTACATTTGAAAATGGTAACAAATCAGGACAGATTAGGAAGGCAGGCAGGTAAGCATTCACCTCTGGGATTCCACATATGAGCCCAAGCTGATAGAACAAATGCCTTTACTCTGAAGGTTGCAACAGTACTAAATGAAGAACTATTCTTTTATATCCATTATGTAAAAGTAAACCAGCAGTCTCATTCAAAAGCCACCATAAGGATAGAAAAAGGAAAATCGATACAAGTGAAATTCAGAATTCTCTCCTTGAGCATAAAGATGGTGCCGAGGTTTAGGGACAACAAAGTTTGTCCCTCTGGCGGTCTAGTTTTTAGCTCATTATAAAATGATTGATAATGGACATTGGAAAAAGATCGTACAAATATATCGAGGATAACAAAACAAAACATCAGTCATATTTTAAATACTATTGGTTTAAAAGTCAAGTTCAAGAGTATCTTATAGCCTCTAAATATGTCATCAAATACATACATCAACAGAATATTGCTTTTTTAAAATCAAAACGGAAACTACGTTTAAAAAAACAAATGATTTAAATGATCTAAATTTTGTTGTAAAATGCTTCCTTTGTTTAGCATTTCATTACACTTTGTAGCCTTTTTATTTAGTTTTTTTTAAGAAAAAACTGTACAAAGTGCTTGCAGAGAAAAACAGATGGTTACTAAAATATTTAGGGATTATTTAAGGTCAAAAAAGCAGTTTGGATAGTATAACAGTTGCAAAATTCCACTTAGGGAGGGAAGTATCATGGTATTGAGCCAGAATTTCCACAAAGAGAGAATGAACACGAATGATTTAGGTTCAGAATATTTATATTTGAATAATCTCAGCTAAACAGCCAGAAGAAACAAAACGTTTGTTCCGATAAAAGTTTCAGGGTACCTTCCAAAAGAACATTGATATGTTTAGCAGAATGGAGAGTAACAAGCTGAAGTCCAAATCTAGGACTTCGAAGGTTAAAAGAATGATTTATGGAACTAAAATTGTTTTAACAAAAAACGTTGTCAAATTAACTCAAATTGACACACATAGTTTGAGGGGTGATGTTATCCATGTTTTTTTAAATTGTGGTTACTTGACATGTAATGTGAGCATAGAACCGGAATGTGAATGTACAAATTAAGCCATAGGGAATGTAGGTGATTTGAAGGCCCCCTCTTCACAAAGAGCAGTGAGCACTTAGATTTGATTCCCATGAAAACAATTGTATCATCTGACAGTTTTTAAAAAGCACTATATGTATAAGCCATGAGGGCAGGATCAAAGCTTATAGAAACAATATCTTCTTTTTCTTTAGTTCCCTGCCTAAAGTTGACTATTTGCTGAACCACGAACCTGAATCTACCTCAAACAAGGATTGAACCCCATGCAATTGCTCTTTGCGCACTGGCTGGCTTGTCACAAGCATGTGACCTCCACCTCTGCTGAAAGTGCCTTTGTGTGCAATCTTTGGGAGTCACTACACAAATCGCTTGTAACATGACGTCAGAGTGGAGCTGCTGAAAGTGTGTGGGTTTTCCGAGCTGTAAGACAGCCAGCTAGTGACATGAGCGGCAAGGAATAAGAAAATAAGTCTGCTACCTTGAATCACATGGCAATTCAAAATGGCAGTGCATTTTCCACTCCCTGCTACTGTGGAACTAGGTAAGAGACAGAATTAAGTTTTGAAAAATCATTCCACATGCAACAATGACCAGTGAGACAGTAAAATGCCTGATGAGTAACAATGACCCTCAGTTCATGAGTGAAGAATTCAACTGCTTCAAAAAGCATTGGGGAAGTCAACATCATATACTGTCTCCACACTATCCCAGTCAAATGAAATTGCTGAAGCAGCAGTGAAAATTGTCAAAGCGATGATAAACGAGTCAAACAAATTCAGCACAGACTAGTACAAGGCATTCCTTGAGTGGAGAAACAGATCTACTGAAAGCACAGAAAGCAGTCAGTCCAAAGACTAATATCATGTTGTGCCGAACCTTCTCTTCGAGATTTCCTTTCATGAAGGACACTAATGAACCAGTTGGATTTTTACAACAGTTGATAATGGTTTCACAGTCACCATTACTGAGACTAGCTTTACAATTCTAGATTTTAACCATTGAATTTAAATTCCACCAACCCTTGCCCCAAAGCATTAATCTAGGTCTCTGGATTACTGGTCCAGTGACATCACCACAACATCATAAAACAGGTATCCGATCTAACTGGACCACCATGCTGTAATAATGTGTAGAAAACAATAATTACTGAACTTCTATGATCAAAGAAATATCATTGTAAGAAGGGCAATGGATCGTGGATAAACATGTAAAATTATAAAGTATATTGAAGACCTGACTAACTTATCTTAAGTTGGAAAAACAAATTTTTGAGAAATATTTCTGAAGCAGTTCAGTGGAGTTTGGATTAATGTATTGGCAAGAATCAGAAATCTGTCTTTTATTAAAATGGAAGGGTTATCTTTGCGCTATTTCTCATTAGAAATTTATAGTTATGGTCATATCAACGACTCTGACTGAGAGCACAGGCTGCACAGTTGGAATACACACAGTTATGAGCCATAGATACGTTAATGGGATACTTCTGAGTTCCTTTCAGACAGGGAGAGAAACACTACGATTGTCAATCCATGGCTGGAAGGACAGTGGTTTCTGATTCTTGGGAAACTGGGAATATTCTTAGATCCACCAGAAGCTCTACAAACTGAATGACTTTCACCTACACTTAAACCTGAAAGATAGCCACTCTGTTGCAGAAAGGGGCGCATGGTGCATTTCAGGAGCAGGAAGGCTGACGAGGGTCTAGGCCCGAAACGTCAGCCTTCCTGCTCCTATGATGCTGCTTGGCCTGCTCTGTTCGTCCAGCTCTGCACCTTGTTGTCTCAGATTCTCCAGCATCTGCAGTTCCAACTATCTCTGGTGCATTTCAAATAAGTTTTGTGTAGGACAGGAAGCTAAACAGGACTTCAAAAAGTGAGATAAAAAGACCAGCTGGTTGCAAGACGATGGTGGAGATTACCCAAATAACAATCCTGTAGTATAAGAAATTAAAGCCCAAATTCAGGTTCAGGACACAAATCTAAGAACAGTGGCCCTTCAGAGGTAGAGGTAGAGGCAGAGGCACAGTTATAGGGGGTGAGCAAAACTATCTTAGGTCTATGCATGGTAATTTGGAACCATGAATATACCCATTCTTGATTGGTGAAACAAACGTTATTAAAATATAAATACATTAATGTAATTTCCTCAGGAATGAAAGTTAAGATTATATGATTAATTAATGTGAAGCTGCCACTTAAACTATCCATTCTGGATTCATACCTGCACCCTGAATGTAGCCAGGAATCATCAACAGGAGGGGGTAAAGGAACAGTTATTGTGTTAGTGTCGATGTCGCCGATAATATTCAGTGCTTCACAGATGGCATTGTATGTGCGTAGAGTTTCATCACGCCGTTGAGCCTGTTCAGGTGATTCCTCCATCAAGGTGTTTTGGTCCTCTGAGGAGTAGAGTTTTGCTAACAGCTCTGCATTGATAAAGTCCTTTGTCTATGGAACAGATTTAAAACCATGACATGAACATCTTGCTAATTTCACGTTAAACTCTACCTGCATCATGTAAAAGTTCCCCTCAAGTTCAGAAGGTAACAGATAAGTTCAATTAAAGTACGTGAATCTGTAATTAACATGACGATTTGGCTGTTTCATTAAGACTGCTGTTGGAAATGAATCAGTACAGACATCCCATAGATTACAACACTAGACCGTTTGTTGTACAAGTCATATTGCCATCAGTGCATTTTGTTTTAATACTTTCATTAATACGTAAAAGAGAAAAATTACTTTCAACTCAGCTACTTTCTGTAAGCAACTTCTGCCAATTCTCAGTCAGTCAATTCGATTAAGGTAACAAATATGTTTGTGGCATAAGCTGTTGCTCAATATGAGATGAAATTGACACAGTCATTAAGTACCATTGCTGAGATATTCCCACCTATCCTCAACAACAGTGTGAAATAACCTGAGGCAGTCAACATGTAGACATCAGCTTTTAATTTTCACGTTGGTTTTAAGTGTCACGCTACGACCATCAGGAAGGCCTTGTGGATAATGTTGACCTTGAACCTCTGGCAATCATAGAGAATTGGCTGACTGGCTGAAAGCAGAGAGTGGGAATAAAGGGGTCTTTTTCAGGATGGCAGCCAGTGGCTAGTGGTGTTTTGCAGGGGTCAGTGTTGGTATACATTAAGATTCTAGATGAAGGAAGTCATTGTTGCTAAGTTTGCAGATGACACAAAAATAGGTGGAGGAGCTGATAGTGCTGTGGAAACAGGGAGGCTGCAGAAGATTTGGACAGGCTAGGAAAGTGGGCAAAGAAGTGGTAGATGGAATGCAACGTGGGCAAGTGTGAGGTTATGCACTTTAGTTAAGAAAAATAGAGGTGTGGACTATTTTCTAAATGTGGGCAGGTTTCGGAAATCTGAAGCACAAAAGGACTTAACAGGCCTAGTTCAGGATTCTCTTAAAGTTAACATGCAGGTTCAACTGGCAGTTTGGAAGGCAAATATAACATTAGCATCCATTTCAACAGGGCTGGAACACAAGAGCAGAGATGTACTGCGGAGGCTGTACAAGGCACTGGTCAGACCACATTTGGAATATTGTGAGCAGTTTTGGGCCCTGTATCTGAGGAAGGATGTGTTGACATTGGAGGAGGTTTACAGAAATGATCTCAGGGCTTGTCATATGAGGAGAGGTTGAGGACTCTGGTGTGATGAGAGGGATCAGATTGAAACTTTTAGAATACTGAGAGGCCTGGATTGAGCAGACATGGAGGGGATGTTTCCAATAGTAGGTGAGACTAAGACCTGTGGACACAGCCTCAGAGTGAAGGAGACAGTGCTTTAGAACTGAGACAAGGAGGAAGTTCTTCAACCACAAGGTGGTTTATCTGTGAAACACACTGCCACAGAAGGCTGTGGAGGCCAAGTCATTGAGTGCATTTAGGACAGAGATAGATAGATTGTTGATTAGTAAGGGGATCGAAGGTCATGGGAAGAAGGCAGGAAAATGGTGTTGAGGAATGTATCAGCTATGATCGAATGGTGGAACAGACTTGATGGGGAAGCAATGGACTAGTGGTATGATCGCTGGACTGTTAATCCAGAGATGCAGATAATGTTCTGGGGACCCGGGTTCAAATCCTGCCATGGCAGATGGTGGAATTTGAATTCAATAAATATCTGGAATTACAAATCTAATGATGACCATGAATCCATTGTCGATTGTCAGGAAAAACTCTTCTGGTTCACTAATGTCCTTTAGGGAAGGAAACTGCCATCTTTACCTGGTCTGGCCTGCATGTGGCTCCAGACCCACAGCAATGTGGTTGACTCTTAACTGTCCTCTGGGCAATTAGGGATGGACAATAAATGCTGCCTCGCCAGCGACGCCCTCATCCCATGAATGAATAAAAAAAAGGCCAAATTCTGTTCCTTCTATCTTATGATCTTATGGTGAGTGTTATTGTAATGAATGATTCAGAACAAACCTGCAACATATAACACTGACATTTTTAAGTACAATCCTGTGTTAACTCAATTATTTTTTTTTGGTACTTAGAGGGACAGTTTTAAACTTTATTCATGAATTGAAGCATACTTTTAAGTACTGTCAATAATTTACAAGAGAGGAGGAAAACAACAACAAACTCCATTCCTGGATGTGACGGTGGAAAGAAAAGAGAATGGTCACTCACTACAAAAGTATACAGGAAATCCACGCATACTGACCAGTTCTTAAACTATCACAGCAACCACCCCAACTCACACAAGAGGAGCTGAGTTAGGACCCTGTTCAAATGGACCGCTACACACTGTAGTACACCCAATCTTCAGAAGGAAGAAGAACACCTCTACAAGGTATTTACCAGGAAGGGATACCCCACAGCTTCATCCACAGATACCTATCCAACAGACAACACAACCAGGACACACCAAAACCCAAAACAATAGCCACCATACCATATATAAAAAAACACCTCAGAACTGACAGCCAGACTACTCAGACCGCTAGGAATCATGACAGCACACAAACCGACAGCCACACTAACACAGCAACTGACCAGACCCAATAGATGCCATGGACAGAACGAATGTGGTCTACAGGATACCATGCAGAGACTGCACAAAACATTATGTGGAACAAACAGGCAGACAACTAGCAACCTGCATCCACGAACACCAGCTAGCAACTAAACAACACGACCATATGTTCTTGGTTTCAATACACACAGATGAGAAAAACCACACTTTCAACTGGGACAACACCACTATCATAGGACAAGCCAAACAGAGGACAGCCAGGGAATTCTTGGATGCTTGGCATTCACTCTGCAGACTCCATCAACACACACATAGAATTAGACCCGATATACCAACCATGAAAATGCACAACCGGAACTGGCACCTACCGGAAGCAGCAAAAACCAAACCATATAAATTCGAACCGGCACAAGACAACAGCGCTTCACAGGAGGCTCCACGGCACTGAGGATGTCGCCTAGTAACGGGACGAAATGTCTGCTATCAAAGCTCCCAGCTCGGTGAACACATCAACATCTACAACTGTCAATAATATTAATTTTACTTTGGGATGTTACAAATATTTGTTACATTGTGGAACACAAACGATCTTGTATTAATTATTTGTTTATGGCATGTGGGCAATACAGACAATGGCTTCATTTAATGCTCATCCTGAATTGCTTGAGAAGTACTGCTGAGCCATTTACTTGGATCATTGCAGTCTCCACGTTTACTTCCACAATGCTGATAGGGAGAAAATTCCAGGATTTTGACCCAGAGACAATAGAGTGAATTTAATGCCCCACTACTGGTGGCTTTAAAGACCAACATGAAGACTGGATAGGCTTGGAGCTGTTTTCTTTAGAACAGCCAAGACTCAGGAGAAATATAATTGAGGCATATGAAGTTATGAATGAACTGGAAGGCATTATTTCCATTAGAAGGTCAATAATGAGAAGCCATAGATTTAAAATAATTATAAAAGGATTTGAGGGCTGTTGAGGTGTAATGGTTTGACATGGAGTCTGTTAAGAGTCCAAAGGTCACTCCTGCAAAGAGTGATAGAGATAAAAATTCTCTGCACATTTAAAAAATATTTGGATGGCACTTGAGGTGCCATAATTACAGACCTACAGGCCAATAGCTGGAATGTTAGATAGGCTGGATAATTTTTTCACAAATGGTCTCCTCTGTGCCATATATCTTTGTTTCTGATATTAGAAAAATGTTGACTACATGTTTTTGCAACTAGGGCAATTTCATTCATAGCTAAAGGATGAAGATCAACTCTGCACACAAACTCAAGCCTTTCAGCGGTCATTGCAACACTACTGTGCTTCAAGAACTTCAGAGTAACTTTTCAGTGTTTTCTTTGTCCTCTCCTGGTGTGCAGACCATTTGAGAGTTGAGAAAACAGGACCTGGCTGGGAAGATGCTTTTAAGCCTTCTACACAGTATCCAATCCACTATCACTGATTTTGCAGGAGCTTTATCTGATTGTGCGATGAAGATGGACATAAGCATTTGTTTGACAGTCTTCTCCTTGAATCTGGAAAATGCAGCAGAGGCATAACTGATGAAATTTCTCGAACACTCTTATGAGCCATTGCTGCACAGCCCAAGACTCACTGCAGCTCAGGAGTATAGCAATGACAACTGCTCCACCAACTAGGAATGGTAGATGACTTGACTTGCAGTGCTGTTTGCTGTCAAGCACTCACTGCTGGAGTTTGAACCGATGCAATTTGTGCTGTGTTGGATCTCCTTGTCAAGGGTGGGTTGCCAAGGAATGGTACCTGCTCAACATCTTCCAAAATCACTCCTTCGACATATGTGGGAGGCATAATATTTGACTGACAAGATATGGGTCAATATGAATTTTGCTTTGCCAACATTCAAGGACAGTCAAGTCTCTTCTATACAGAATCGCACAGGTCAAGAATGACTTGCAAATCTGCTGCAGATGACGCTGCAGTCATCCACATACTGTTGAGCATTTACTTCTTTGGTGGTCAGTTTTGTTTTGACACAGAGACAAATAAGATAAATGAGGCAAATGAGTTTTCCACCTAGGCAATATTTAATACTCAAAAGAGAGAGCAATTCATGTTTGATGAGTGAATAGCCACCATCGGGTTGATTGTAAATAGTATCAGAGCTATCATACAGCCTCGCTCAATACCAATCCTCTAGCATTCACAGTACTTTGCTTTCGTTTCTGTTTCAGGCATCTGTTTCAGATCTTCCATTCAAGGTGGTTGCAGTCATATCATCCCGAAACAGTTGCAGGATTGTGATGAACTTCCTCGGACATGTAAATTCTGGAGAACAATCCACAAAGGCTCGTGATTTACTGTGCCAAATGGTCAAGTTGGTGAATGCAATGAAGAGATCCTAATGTTGTTCTCAGCATTTTTCCTGGATTTGCCTGGCAACAGTGTTAGAGGTACCTCAGAAAAGTCT